GCTTTAGGAGATTTAGCTAGATTCCATTAATTTAGTTCATATTTTGAAAGATACAGAAATGTGACTGCAGGTATTCTTCGGGCAACAAGATGGGTGAGGTAATATCTTTTATTGGACCCACTTATGTTGGTGAGACAAGCTTTCAAACTTACACAGAGCTGTTCTTTGCGTCTTTTTAGTAACCAGAGACTTCTGAGCACCTCAGGTGATTGCACGTTTTACTTGAATGTAGAATAAAAGAAATAGTGACCACTTAAGAAGTTTGCCAGTTTAACAGCTTTGACACAAACCTTGAAGGTGTGACAAGCTGAGGTAGACTAACACTGTCAAAGGGCTACACTCTTGCAGGAGTTGTTCTGCACAGAAAAGGCTACATTTTCTGAGTGCCACGTGGAGCAACTCAGTGGCAGGTATCATTCACTTACTGCAGTCCACAATGCAAACTGCAGATTTAGGGAGCTGTTCAGAGAGTTGCCTGAGTGTGCAGCGCATATTGCTGTGACAGTTCTTGTGTAAGAATGGTTTGATTAGAATTTGAGGTCTGCAGCTATGTCTTGGCCCAGGGATCTCAAATTCAAATCACCATGAGGGGAGAGATAGCTCAGTGGTTTGAGCATTGGCCTGCTAAACCCAGGGTTGAGAGTTCAATCCTTGAGGGGGCCATTTAGGGACCTGGGGCAAAAATTGGGGATTGGCCCTGCTTTGAGCAGGGGGTCGGACTAGATGATCTCCTGATGTCCCTTCCAACCCTGATATTCTGTGAGGACTAGTACATTGGCCTGAGGGCTGCATCACTGACACCTTTTCATATAAAGATACAAACCTGCCCCTTCTCCAAAGACTCCTGCCCCTATTCCAACCCCTTCCCCAAATCCCTGCCCCACCTCTTCTCTGCTTCCTCCCCTGAGCCCACAGCTCCCTGGTCCTCCTCCCTCCCTCCTGGAAAGCGCTAAGTGCTGATAGACAGCTGTTTGGCAGCAGGAAGCACCTGAAGGTAGGCAGAGGAGCAGGGACCCGGCACAGGAGGGAGGGAGCAAGGGAAGGGAACTTGGCAGCTGCAGGAAATAACTCTGTGGGCCGTATGCGGCCCGTGGGTTTGAGACCCCTGTCTTAGCCTCAAAATGGCAACTGGAGATTCTCCCCCCGACACACTTCTTTGCTGCCACCACCACTCCCTAAAATTTTAGTGGAAAATTATAGTAAATTGGCCACATTAGTTAGGAATCAAATTAAGATTCTTATTACAATAAAATCCAGTCCTTGCATTTGAAATGAGATATTAAAGTTCACATTTAATTTCTATCTAACATTGCAACTTTATATTTTTGCATTAAAATTTTGTGTGGAGTCAATCTTGACTAGTGTAACAAGCTGCTGTAGATGAAGAAAGTGGTGTTCTCAATCTCATAGGGTGGGACACATCTTTGATATTAGAAGTGAGAAGTTAAGGGGTCCTCTTTAAGGCATACATGTTAATTTTTTCCAACTACAGCAGAAGTTGCCTATATGGCAAATTGTAAGCAATTGTAAGAGTCTGATGTACTTTAGGGCAGTTTAGTACCTGGAACCTACATAGCCAGTACCCTTGTGGTCAACAAGTTCTTTAAACCAATCTGAGAACCTTTGGTTAGAATAGCAACAAAATTAATTTAATCTTGGGTCATCTAGATCAGTGCTACTCAAAGTGGTGGTCCATGGACTGGTGCCGGTCCGCGAGCCATCGGCTGCCAGTCTGCGTGCATATTGGGGGGGAAAAAAATTGCCAGTCCCCCACATCAGATAGCGTAATGTAGATCAGTGCTTCTCAAGCTATTTATAAATGTTTTCAACCTAACCAAGTTTTAGACTTCAGAAGAGTTTCTACAGAGTCATGAATGGAAGGGGATAGGTTTCCTACTTAAATTCACTGAGTAGTGATTTGTAGTAGTCCATATTGCTTGGTGTACCTAGGGCCTGTATAGACAGAACAATTCCCAGTCTGTTAACTTCAGAAATTAGTAGCACTAATGGTAAACTACAGCTCTAGAAGTCATGCATACTGTAGGTGTAGTTATCTGGCAAAATTCTGAAGAACTATTTTTCCATTCTGCCCCCAAGGAGCCAGTCTGAATGCAGAAGTTATATAAACTGCTTGCATGAACTGTATCAGACAAGCAAGTTGTTAGTGTCTTAAGCAGTGTAAACATTCCTCTAGTAGCAAACACTTGTGTTCTTGTCCCTGGATTTGCAAATTACTCTTCTCACATTCCCAATAAATGAAAAGTTTTGCCTTGAAAAGCTAAGAATTCACTAGGCCTGAGCCACCAGCATATTACACTTAAAAACAGGGATTGTACAGACAATAATAGTCTGCAAACAAGTGACTGCATCGCTTGTGCCATCATTCAAACTAAAAATCTTTGTCCAGATATTTTCTAGGCAACATGGCTCTTTCAGTGATCTAACACCCTTTTTACTTGTTAAGACCTTTGTATGGCCTTGGGGGGGGAGGGAAGGGGAGTGGGGAGGGTGTCTGCCTGCCTTTTTGAAACTGCATATTCAAGTCCCACACTGCCGGATTTACTAACCCAACAGGACAACTGAGCAATACAGGAAATTCTTAGAGTAGCCAACATAAGATGTATAAGGATTTATGGTCAGACAAACATTAAATTAAGTTTGAGGATGAACAGAGGAAGTATGGGGAAAGCTAGAAATAAGGCAAATCCCAACTACTGAGTTACTTGCTAGTTTTTCTCCCTTGGGACAGCAAGGCTTTATTTACTTTTGCTTAACCGAAGTGGGGTGCTGGCAACCCCTTCAGAGGAGGGTCATTTGACATAGCTCAAGTCTATGCAGTCTGAAACAGGACATGTTAGTATTAACATGGAATCTACCCTCTCTAGGCTGGTTATTAATGTTTTGTATTTGTGTGGAGATCCAGGCCACTTTTAAATTTGAATACACAACAGTTGTCAGAAATAATGAAGTTGCTCCAAACTGTGCTATCAACCGGCTATGTTGTCAATTGACTTTTTGGTAACGTCTTTCCATCAACTCAGTCCCCTAGCTATCATTTCTTCCCCCCTCCCCACTTTGTTCTATTTATAGGCTACAGCAGCTGAACAGGGGAGTACCCTTCATAGTAGTGTGTCAGAGAGGTACTGTGGACACATGTGCAGATCTATAGCCTAGGGCCACCTGCTTTACTTGCCTGAACATAAAGCTTTTGGCTCCCTTCAAAAGGCTGTCTTAGCCAGTGTAGAGCTATATAGGACTGACCTGTTGCTAAGCAATTGTGACTGGCCAAACACCTTCCCTGGAGCAGCCCTCCTTCACATATGCCTGAGGTCATTATATTTACAAGTCTATATGTGCTCTTTGTTTCCATTCTAGGTAGTTTCTTTTTGAGAGAGAGAGAGAGAGAGTGTGTGTGTTCAGATTCAGCCTCTCAGAGTTTTGGACGGTAATAAGTTTAAATTCTGCAAATACAAGTTTAATTAGAAAAATCTATGTCAGATCAATAGGGGCATCTGTATGAGCTGCTGGAAAAAATGCAAGGAAAGTTGTTTAAATAATAATAATTACCAAGAAGTGTGTTAAACCCAGACAAGCAGTACTAATAATCTGAAAGCAAAACTGACTTCCTCATTCCACTTCTCTTGGCCTGGGCCACTAGTAATGACAGATAAGAAATTCTTGTGATGAAGTGTTATTAGGAAAGATTAATAAAGGTTTTGAGTGGACAGCATCCCTTTAGCATTTGCAAGGCAGAATCAAACGAACATCTTCAGACCCATTTAAAAGTATCTCCATTTTTTGTTAGCCACACTTTTCTGAGAGATATTTGCTATTACAAGAGCTAGTATTATAGCTGAAGGATCAGAGCTGTTAAACTTCATGCAATCGGGAGGACGTGGTCTTGTCAGTTTCCACCATGCACAGGGGTGTTACAGCGGGGGGGCAGCTGTCTCTAAGAGCACAACACGGAGAACTTTGCTAAGGACCCCAGGAACAAGCATAGCACCAGAAGGTAGTTTTAAGTCGTTTTAGGGCAACTAGATTTCGACTTGTCTCTCTTTCTAATTTAAGCTTGAGCTGTTTGACAAGCCCCGATCAAGAAGCTGAACAGGACTTTGACTTCCTGGAGATACACCCCCTGGATTCCACTTCAAGGCATAGGCGTCAAGTCCACACCCGACCTTCCCCCAAAGTTCAGGGGACATCTGGGGCCAGGCCCATCGGTTCTGTAAATTACGCTCCCAGGAAGCTGAACCGAGCTGGGCGCACACGGGCTCCTAGACCTCCACCCGGGGGTGGCCCTGTGTGACGGGGCAGTAGCGCTGCAGGGTCGCTTCGGGGTCGTCCCCCGCAGCAGCCGGGCGTGGCGGGGAGGGGAGGAGAGGGAGGGGGCATTCCGCGCGGGGCGCCCGGCTTGCCCAGCGGGGGAGAGGCGCCCGCTGGCCGGGGGGAGCCCTGGGGCAGGCGGGCAGCACAGCCAGCCTAAAAACAGGAGCCGCCATGAGCGAGCGCGCGCTGGGTCCCCGCAGCGGGGACCAGGCTAGGCCGAGCTCCGCTTCCTTCCTGCTCCGCGAGCCTCGGGCGGCAGCTCCCGCTCGCTCTCCCGCTACCTGGCCAGAGCCAGGGGTCGCGCCAGCCCGGGGCCGTGCGGGCAGGGGTCTCAGCGCAGCCCCGGCCGCGGGAGACGCCCCCGGGAGCCCTCCCGCAGCTCCGTCAGCGCCGCTCAGCCCCCGCGGGCGGGCGGCCAGGCCTGGCAAGGCCGGGCCGGCTCGGGCAGGGCGCACTTACCAGCCATGGTGCCGGTGCTGCTGGCCCCTCCGCCCGGGACAGATGCTGCGGCCGCCGGCTACTCGCGAGCCGCGACCGGAGCCGCCCTTTATATCTGGGCGGGCGGAGCCACGTGGGGCACGTACGCTGCCCGCAGCTAGGCAGCCTTTCGCTGGCGCGGGGAGTCTCGCCGGTCGTGGGGCTCCCAGCACGGGGCGAGGAGCCGCCCGGGGTAGCCCCCGGACACGGCGCCAGCTGGATTATCCCCCGTGTCAGGCCTGCCTGAGAACAGCCTTTCCTCGGGCTAATTCCTTCCTTCCAGTGCCTGTATCTGCTTTGCACGCACCCACCGCCCTGGTCTAGGTACTGTGTGCTAAGAGGCCAGTTCCTCCCTTCCTTTCCCAGGTGCTTTGTGCAGCCGGAAAGCTGCCCTGGCTGCCTCGCTGGGGATTCACCTGGTGCTAGGGAATTCTCCGACATGAAGATGGTTCCGCCACGTTCATTGCTGGGGTATCTGAAAGGGTTCCCGCCTGCTTTGCTGAAGGGGGGTGGCATTGCCTCCTCTTCCTTTCCCACTGCTAGAAAGAGTTTTGTAGCCTTCCTATGCGTTGCAGGGTTTGTGTGGGGTGCAAGACTCCCACCAAGAATGTGACCCCAAACAGCTTCTATTCTTTGCTTGGTTTCAGAGTAGCAGCGGTGTTAGTCTGTATTCGCAAAAAGAAAAGGAGTACTTGTAGTACTTTAAAGATTAACAAATAAACGTGTTAGTCTCTAAGGTCCCACTAGTACTCCTATTCTTTGCTTGTGCTTTTGGCCAGCCACAGGTTATGTTCTGATAAGTGACCCGGTGAAGTGAGTTTTTTGTATTGTTCTTTCTCAACAACTTCCAGGTCCAATTTGTTCACCTTACAAATAAAAATATATGTTATCTCCACCTAGGATCTGAGAGTCAGGCTGGATTTTGCCTGTTGCCTGCATCACTGCTGCTAATAAATATTGGGCAATCACAACTCCACCCTAAAGGATTCTGTTGATGCATATGAGAGAGAGAGAATCCAGCTGCCTGTTCCAAAGCTGTGTTGGCTCTGCAGGGATAACACAAATAAAATCTTATTTGATTCAGTAAGGTGAGTAGCTACAGGAAGTAAATTTGCTTAACATTTTTACATAGTCATTTTTGTGACTAGAAGTAAATACATTTCCTCAGGAGCCAAATGAAAGTGCTCAAACCGGCTAACCCACAGCCACTGTATTGAGGGTGATACAGTAACTCTTCACTTAAAGTTGTCCCCTTTAACATTGTTTTGTTATTAGGTTGCTGATCTATTAGAGAACATATGCGTTTAAAGTTGTGCAATGTTCCATTATAATAGAGGTGAGCAAACTATGGCCCGGGGGTCACATCCGGCCTGCAGGACGGTCCTGCCAGGCCCTTGAGCTCCTGGCCAGGGAGGCTAGTCCCTGGCCCCTCCCCTGCTATCCCCTCTCCCCCACAGTCTTAGCTTGCAGCGCAGGCAGTGGGGCTGTGAGCTCCTGTTTCTCTGAGCGGCATGGTAAGGGGGTGGTGGCGGTGCGCGCGGTGGTGGTTAGGGGCGGGGGTCCCGGAGGGCAGTCGGGGACAGGAAGCGGTTGGATGGGGTGGAGGTTCTGGAAGGGGTAGTCAGGGAACAGGGGGGTTGGATAGGGTGTGGGAATCCCAGGGGGGGCCTGTCGGGGGAGGGGGTGTGGATAGGGGATGGGGCAGTCTGGGCACAGGGAGCAGGGGGGTTGGATAAGGGGTGGGGGGTCCTGGGAGGGGTGGTCAGGGGACAAGGAGCAGGGAGGGGTTGGATGGGTTGGGAGTTCTGAGGGGGGCAGTCAGGGGGTGGAAAGTGGGAGGGGGCGGATAGGGGGTGGGGACCAGGCTGTTTGGGGGGCACAGCCTTCCCTACCCGGCCCGCCATACAATTTCGCCCACCCCTGCATTATAAGGTTGTTTGACTCACCCTGCTCCTCCTGCCTGCCTGGTGCTCCTGCCAGGGAGCGGGGTCGGGGTGCAGGGGCTTATCCCACTCTGCCCACCAAGCATTCCAGCTGGGGAGCGGGCAAGCCCCTGACCCTACTTCCCAGCAGGAGCGCTGGACAGGCGGAATGGGGCAAGCCCCTGCCCCGACCCCACTACGCCCTGCCTCAGCCAAGCTTCACAATCATCATTGGTGAGTACAGTATTAAATAGTTTGTTTAAAATTATTTAAAACGTATACTGTGTGTGTATATATGTCTTTTGTCTGGTGAAAAAAATTTCGCTGGAACCTAACCCCTCTATTTACATTAATCCTTATGGGGAAACTGGATTCGCTTAACATAATTTTGCTTAAAGTAGCATTTTTCAGGAACATAACTACAATGTTAAGCGAGGAGTTACTTTAGATTATTTTTTTAGGCTAGGGATGAGCACTGATTCATTGCTAGGTGATGTTCAAACACGTAGTGAGAGACAGTTCCTGCCCCAAAACATTTATAGTTTAAATATATAAGATGGGAGGAAACAAAGACAGAGAAAAGTGAAGCAACTTGCCCATGGCCACACAGCAAATCAGTGGCATAGCTGGGATTAGAATTTAGGTCTTCTGGATCCTTCTGAAACTGACCTAGCCACTAGATCAGGAGTGGCCAAATTTACTGACTCTCTGAGCTGTGTATGATGATCTTCAGAAGTTTTGAGAGCTGGGTGTGGCAGTCGGGGCTCCCGGCTTGAGCCCTGTGAGGCGTGTCAGCTGGGGCTTGGAGCATCAGGTGCCTCCCGCAGGGCTGAAGGCCCAAGACCCTCCCTCCCCACAGGGCAGAAGCCCTAAGATCCCCCCACCCCAGTCTGGAAGGTGGAGAATGGGGTGGGGGTGCTCCGTGAGCCGTTCTTTAACTGTAAAAGAGCTGCATGCGGCTCGTGAGCCATGGTTTGGCCACCTCTGAACTGGATTATACTATCACCCATTTGGAGCATCCCCAAAGGTAGGGATTATAGAGAGGGGCTTGGCAGAGTTGGGGTAGATCCATACTAGGAAAAAAGGTGATTTTTTTTTTTTAAACCACATTAGGGGTTAAACCACATTAGGGGATAGCCTAATGTTTACCTCAATGTGCTAACCTATGTTAGAACTGTACCTGCCTTGTCCACACTAGTCTTCTACCATGTTTTAGTTACGACATATTAGCTAACATATGGTAAAAAACCCCACCTGTTTTTCTAGTGAAAACAAGGCCTTGGAGAGGGAACTGCGGCTGTTGGGAAGGAGATAGAGTTCTGGGGAAGCATGGGGCTTTTGAAGGGAATGAGGAGAATATAGCTGACTTTGAAGCAGGGAGGAAGAAGGAGCATTGGTAGAAGAAGGGAACCTTAAAAATGTTTGTATAAGGGAGAATAAGCATCTAAACTGTTTGACTGTCTAAACAGAAATTTTTAACCTTTTTCAGATCTCCCTTGGACTCCTCCAAACTTGAAACCCTATCAGAGTTAAAATAGTGCATTGATTTAAGTTTTCTGTACACACTAAGCTTTTAAGTAATAAATGTTCAAACTATTTATTTGGTCTTTCTATGTTCACAACTATTCACTTCAGTCTACCACAGCTTATTTTCTATGGGCAAGATTCTTATTCGCACCCATGTAAAATGTGTAGTCGTTCCAGTGACATCACTGGAGTTTTACACTGATATAAATCTAGATCTAGAGTAACTCCCTTGATTTTGCTAGAGTTTACACAAGTGTAATCTGGAGTAACTCCACTGACCTCACTGCTGATTCTCCAGATTTTACAACAGTGCAACTGCTATAACAATCTGTCCTTGATACAGAGTGCCCACAATGTTAAACAAAAATTTTCTGATTTCAAATCTTTAGTAACTATGTTCCACAGTTGCTGAACCTTGCACTGTCCCTGCTTGGGGGCTACCATAACGTAGTTCTTAGTATTTAAAATGCAAATATTTTCTCTTTTTAGTATTTTACTTTCTGATTCTGAAGGGAGTATGAGCTATTCTGTCCACAATGAGCTGTGATTGTTAAAGAGGCATATTGTATGGTTTAGTTGTACTATTTATCCTTTATTTTAACCACCATTTATCATCTGAACCAACCTTGCCCCAGACTACTCAGCAAGCTTTAGTTTATACTCTCCCTAATTGTGGTCTCTAGGTGCTATGAATAATAATATTAAAGTCTTGTATTCTCTCTGGTGAGCATTGTTGTGCTGTTATCTTAACATTGAATGAACTGTAAGGCATCTTGCATTTCAGAATTTATTGCATCCCTTCTGCCAGGAAGCCCTGAAATTGACAGCAGACAGCACAGAAAATGGTGCGATTCTCTGAAATCTCAAGATAAGGAAGTGTAGGCATCTTTCTAGAGGTTGGGAAGAAGCAGGGGTGATACTTACTCATATTAAATCAAAGCCTTTTCTTAGGTTTGATAACTATTTGTGCTGAGACTTCCTTGTTTTTTCACCCACCCTGTTTGGCGATTCTTGGATTTTACTAAGGGCTGGTGCAGTGATTGAGAAAAGGGATTACATGCTGGAAATGACTGACCCAATGTAGATTTGATCAGTTTTGTTTCTGACTGTATTTATTTGACTCTGTCAGTTACACCCCTCTGGGAAAACTCATTTGCTGTAGTCAAGTTGAGACACGTCCACTCATTTCATGCCCCAAAAGTGCAAACAGCTTCAGTGTTGCAAGGTAGGGAGTTCAGTAAGAATAGGCCTTAGCAGTTACCTTCTTCAAACGGCTCTGTAAACATTAATCAATTAATCCTCACAGCTATGACGCAGGTATTATCACCCCCATTTTATAGAGGAAGAAAATGAGGCTCATAGAGATTAAAGAGCATAATTTTTACTCATTTATGCTAGTGTAAAAATACAGTGGAGTTAATCTGGAGTTTATCTTAATTGACTTCAAGAGAGTTACTTCAGTCTTATACTGGTGTAAATTAGAGCATTGGCCCTAAGACTATGCAGCAAATCAGTGGCACAGCTAGGATCAGAATTCAGAAGAACCCACTCCTAGATCTGTACTCAGTCATCAAGCCTTTACTCATCATATTACACAGTAGACTTAGTGTGAGCCTGCAGGTAGATACTCCTGGGTTCTTGACCTAGGTGTGTCAGTGCATGGGGGCAGATTAATAAGGCTTCCTTTTTATAGGAGTTCAGTTTCATAAAGTTGAAATCTCTAGGACTGGCAGGTCTGCATATAAAAGCGGCCATTCATTAGTCAAGGCTTAAACTAGAGTGATGATTGGAGAGAGGTCCCTTTTATAATCCGTATAGCCGTGCAAACAGGCTGCACTAATGGAATTTAAAGCCTATCATGTAAGCAGCATAAATACACTGAAGGGAAGATGTCCTGCCACAGTAATGACTACATGGGTCAGAAGTAAATGTTAACTAAACCAGGCCCCGAGGATTCCCTCCCAAATCAGATTATAGTAATAGTATAGCTCTTATAAGATAAATAATTGTTCTTTTTGCTTCAAAATATAGAAAGCAACTTCCTACTGTGTCACATTTACAGCTTCCATAACAGCTGTACCAAGTATCTTTGCCATCTCAGCTGTATCACTCCAAATAACTCCCCCTACATTAACTGTTCAATATCTGAATTTACTCCCTGTGTCACAGTCCTCACATCTGTTAGCTATAGCTAAGAGTCTTGCATACATCCAATGCAATTTTAAAAATGCTTTCAAAATAGCAGTGTTGTAGTGGTGTTGGTCCCAGGATATTAGAGCAACAAAGTGGGTGAGAGAAGATCTTTTATTGGACCAATTTCTTTTGGTGAAAGAGACAAGATTTTGAGCTATGTAGAGCTCTTCTTCTTCAGAGTTCTGTGTAGCTCCATAGTTTGTCTCTTTCACCAACGGAGGTTGGGCCAATAAAAGATATTAGCTCACCCACCTTATCTCTTTAAAATAGTGATTCAAGTTAAGAAACTTGGTATCATTTTTGACTATGCCTTTTCCAGAAATTAGCCCCCATGTGTCAGAGATAGTAAGAAGGTGTTTTTCCACATGGTTTGCACAGACTACACAACAGCAACTCATGCCCTTTTCACTTCACGACGTAATTCCTTCTTGTGAGGTTTTCAGCATCTCTGTTGCTCGCAGATTGTTCAGAATGGAGCAGCATGTTTTCTCACTGGGTTGAGCAATTGCAGTCATCTTACACCTGCCCTGTTTCCTGTTTATAAAGTGGCAGATTAAATTTAAGTGGTTGCTGTTGATTTTTAAATCCCTTAATGGTGTAGACCTAGCCTACATTTGCAGTCTCTTTCATGACTTGGCTTGATGGCTATTTGTACTCATATGTGACCTGTCTTTGCCCCGCATAAGGTGGCAGGCCCATAATGTACTTAACTCACTCCTCTGTTGTCTTAGTTCATATCACCCCACTTTAAATAAACAAACCCTCCTTCACTTTTTTCTTTTCCAAGATGTTATTTATGTTGACTACTGTTGGCCCCGTGGTTCTAATCTTACTCCCTGCATATTTTCCCCATTTTTAGTCTTTTTTGACTCCATTGAATTTTGATAAATAAACTTCACAATTGTAACCTGTTTCAAGAAACTGGGTTTGTGCAGTTTTTCACAGAGCCTTTCTTTATGGGGAGAAAAAGTTCGCTTGGGAATAGTGTAGGTGTGAGAGGATCAGTGGTAACATACATGTTGCTGAGTGGTAGTACCACATGTCGTTTGATGCATATATATTTACTGAAATTTATTAGTTGTTTTTTAAAGTTCAAGACAATGTCTTTCATGACATGTTTTGTTTCCTGCTTTGAACAATGTCAAAATTCTAGATGGGCCTAAAGCAAACCCTCAGATCTGAACAACACTGAATCTTGCATGAAGGTTTGGTTAACCCTAGGTGGCTGGCCCATAGCTCTATAATGGAATGAACCAAAACCTGAATCCAAACCCCGTGGAAGTTTGGATCTGGTGCCAAATCAAACTAGTGGTCCACCAAGTCCAGTACCCTGTATCTGACCAGTTCCAGGTGATTCAGAAGAAGATGCAAGAAATCCTGTAATGTACAGGTTTCAGAGAGCATGTTTTTTGCGGAAGTTTCTACATAACCACAGTAGTCAGTGCTTATTCTCTGAGGCATGTGGCTTTGAGTAATTTTTGGTCTTCCATAATTTTTGAATCTTGTCTGATGTAACTGTGAGTGTTTTTATTATTTAAATAAACCATTTTGGAATCCTGCCAAAGTCTTGGATGCAGTATTGTCTTGTAATAGTGAGTTCCCACAGGTTAATTTTACATTGTGTAAAATAGTAACTATAGATTGTAGATACCCTCCCACTTCAGAATTCTCCAGTATCTCTAAACAGAAGCACTGTTTAAAGTGGGAATAGTTTTCAATGTCTTCTAAATGGTTCAGAGGCCCCTGTTTTGATATTTGGAGGGGGTGCTCTATAACCTTGAAACAGTCCTGTTTTATAAGGTACGCAGCATAGTTTAGATCAAAATGTGCCTTTAAAATAATCCCATCTTCCACTGAGAGCATGCCTACTTTACTGAACATCTTTATAAAAATAATTTATAGCTAGGGAGTTTCACAGCCATTATCTTAAATCTAAATTTTGTTTTATCGCTTCTAATACTGGCTGATTTGTGTTAAGAATGTTGCTAGAAAAATAAGATGGAATACATTTATAGATAAAGTTAAAGCTGTTTCATTAAATGTTAATGGATATAGTTGTCCAGCTGAGAGAGCATAGATTTTAGCCTGTATTGTATTAGGCACTTAATGTTGATATGGCTTATGTTCAGGAAGACCATTTGGATAGATAGAGTTGAGCATCACTTACGTGAACATGGATTGGGGAAATGTTTTGTTCTGTCAGTAAAAAGAAACAGAGAGTTGACTTCAGTTGGTCCAGAAAACTACAGTTCTGAAGAAAGATGATAGATATATTTTAGTTCTGGAATTACCTTTAATATCAGTATCTTCATTAAAATTACTGCTCTTCCCTCCCCCACCCCATTATAGATATTTTAGGTTTATTTGAGGGCCACAGCTAATATTTGAGTCACGTGTGGAAAGGCTTTAATTGTGCCACATTGTCACATGTGTCGGAAGGAAACTGTATTTGTTATGTACATCTAAAAGTAATTAAAATACAATTTTTAAATTACTTTTGAGGGAATAACAAGACAGAGAAACAGAAAAAACCAAGTTTATACATGGCCAACATTTACAGAGTGCAAGTATATTCAGTTTCCATACCTTAGTACAAAGCTGCGTAGTAAGCAGCATTTGACATACAGCTGCGGAGAAAAGAAGATTTAAAAAAAAAAATCATGGCCCTCTGGTATCCAGTTTCATTCCCAAAGGAAATGGAGTCTTGGCTGATCACTGGTTTAAGAAATCTCTAATGAAAATTATTAATACAGTAACTCCTCACTTCACTTCACTTCAGTTATGTTACTGAAAAATACGACTTTAAGCGAATCCAATTTCCCCATAAGAATTAATGTAAATGTGTGGGGGAGAGGGGGGTAGTTCCAGGGAAATTTTTTTCGCTAGACAAAAGACATTCTATACATATACAGTATAAGTTTTAAATGATTTTAAACAAACAGTTTAATATTGTACACAGCAATGAATGACTGTAAAGCTTGGTTGAGGTGGCGGAGTAAGAGGGTGGGATATTTCCCAGGGAATGCCTTGCTGCTAAATGATGAACTAGCACTCGGCTGAGCCCTCAAGGGTTAATACACTGTTGTTAATGTAGCCTCACACTCGACAAGACAGCATGGACTGAGGCAGGAGGGAGGAAACACAACAGATGCAGGGCAGAAACTGCAAACACTTCCCTGCAAAATCTGAACATGATGATAAACCCATGCTATCCAGCTGGAGCACACCACTCCCTCCTCTTGACAGCACATGTACGGCTGCACAGGTGTTGACTTTCCAAAGTGCTGGGGGGTGCATGCGTGAGTGAGAGAGAGAGAGACATGTATTGCCCCTTTAAGTATGCTGACCCTACTTCAAGTATGTTGCCCTTTTAAGCAGATCAGTCAGTTCAGACGGGAAGCAAGAGCTTCCTGCAAGCTTCCCCACCCTCTTCTGTCCCCAGCCCTGTCCCTTCCTCCACTTTGTGGAGAGGGGGTATGGAGCAAGAGGGAGGGGAGGGGAGGGGAGGGGAGGGGGGACAGGAACA